TTCTACAACCCGACGATCCAGGCCGACGACTCGCTCGTGTGGTGCAACTACCTCGGCGGCAACGACAAGCCGATTCCGCGACCGCTCATCGACCAAGAGACGCTCAAGAAGAAGCTCGTGTCAGCGTATTGATCGTGTTGGCCAATTCTTGTACAATTTCAGTAAACATAAATGCACATGTCGTACCCATTCAATGATATATATATACCCACGATGTACAGTTAACCCCAAGTGTAACACGTTTAAATCAAGATGGCCAGTGTCAACCATTCCACACTCGTCATGTGCCAGGCTAGATCGTCCTTTTGCATTGTGTCACATCGTAGCTAACCCGCCACACCACTCCCAATGGCTACCGCTCAATCGAGTCGTCCATACGTCCATCAAGTGTGCGGGGTCCGGCGTGTCCGGGCGCTCGGCGGCGTCGCGCCCGAGCCTCACTGCGCGACCGTGGGTTGTATCTAAGAGCTCCCAGCGACCAAGTGCGGGCATCAACTCCCGTGCCAAATCGGTTCCATGGGATGGCCATGTGTAAGCGCTCATCTGTCGTATGGAGCGTTCTGGTTCACAAGTTATAAACCAGAACGCTACCTCGACAAAGTCGTTCTGGTTGATGACGACGTTGTCAACCATCGCACCGTGCCTCGACGCTGCCGTCGTTCCGACGCATCATACGAGCGAGCCATGACGTGAACAGGATGCAGCTGCCAAGAGAAGGTCACCGACGATTGCACGGCGCTGCTTTGGGTTGCTATCAATAGCTACACGAAACTAACATTTGTTAATTTGTCTTTGCCTTCTCAGTGGCGACGAGCATGAACCGACTCGGTGCGCTTGTCACTGCCGTCCTGCACGGCCAGAAGCGCACCAACCCGATGACCATTCGTGTGCATACCAAGACGACCACACAAGGCGACATGATCGCAGTCAAGCCAGGTCCTTCCACGGCCGGTCCGACGCCGACCGATAAACAAGTGATGTGCACGGTGCAAGATGCGGTGCCTGTGAGCATCGATCCATCCGACCGCGCTAATGCACTCCACGTGGCGTCGCTCGGGGTCATTAGCGTCATGGGCGGTCAGTACTATGGCTGGAACGCGGCACTCTCGACAGGGTTCGTCCCCTATGTCGTCTCGCAAATCGTCATGGGGATGACGTACGTCATCTACATGTCGTGCGCGGCCGAGATTTGCGGCAAAATCGCCTTTTCCGGTGGCTCGTACGGTCTCGCGCGCGTCACGCTTGGCTTCTATGTCGGGTACTTGGTCGGGTGCATGGAGCTCCTCGAGTACGCCGCGTCGTCGTCCGTGTCGGTGAATTTCCTGGGCGAATTCATCACCGGCAAGCTAAACTTGGACGTGCGCTACGAGCCGGTTGTTTGGCTGGTCTACTTTGTGCTTGTCAATGGCTTCTTCAAGCTCCGAGGTCAACTCATGTGGAACCTCTTGGTGGTGTTTGCCTTGCTCTGCGTCCTCCCCGCGGTTCTCTTTATCGCGGGCACGATACCGTTTGCAAATTTAGCGCAATATGGGTACGTGCTGAACAACGAGACCGATCCTCCTACGCACATTTGGGCGAGTGGCAATCTTGCGACTGCGTACTTTGCGTGGTTGCCCTACACCACGTGGGCGTATGCAGGGGTCGAAAGTCTCTCGCTCGTCACCGACATGACGGGCGAGCCGAAGAAGGCGATTCCGCGTGGCATGCTCGGCGCTGTCTGGACGCTTTTTGTCCTCAACGTCTCAATGGTGTGTCTCGTCCCGTCGTTGCCACCAGGTATTGTCAGCGCCACCAGCGCCACGTACCCGCTCAACGCCGGTTTCGCCTTGGCGTACGGGAAGTCGGACACACTGGGTGCCTGGCTCATCGTGCCGGCGCAAGTCGGGATGGCCGCGGGGTTTGTGCTTCCGTCGGCGCGGCTGTTGCAGGCGCTCGCCGACTCGACGCTCTTGCCCCAGTGGCTCGGGCTCAAGCAAACGGTGAGCGCAAATGGCGGTGGATCCTGGCGGGCGCTCACGCTTTCGTCTCTCTTTTCATTTCTCTTGTGCGTCTGCAGCTATGCGAGCCCGGCATTTTCGAGCGCGCTTCAAAATACCTTTTTGCTGGCGGGCTGCTTTAGCTACATCGCGCAAATGATTGGCTTCATCTTGCTTCGCACAACGTACAAAGCCGAGAGCCACGGATACAAGTCGCCATTTGGCGTACCCGGCGCGGTGTTTGCCTGCACTGTCTACTGCTTGTTGGGGCTCTCGATTGTCGGCGGGTTCCAGGGCGACAACGGCACGGCCGCCCTCGCAGGGTTGGCGTACGTGACACTCCTCACGGGATACTACTTCTACGCGTGCAAGGACCGCCAAACGATTTCGAAAGACGAATATGCGTCCATCTTTCGCTTTACGATCATCAAATTCAACAATCTCAAACGAAAAGCCGCGCGGCGCGCCAAACACAAGGCGAAACCGAGTTTGTGGAAGCGATTCGCGGCAAAAGTGCGCCCGTCGACGTCGACGTCCAAGCCCAGCACCAAAATTGGGTACACGGACGTTGGCGTTGGTCACCCCAAGTTGCCACGTCCGGCGAGCCAAAAGTAGTAAATTCGTGTTATGTCGAATATGGTATAGCTCATAAGGGTCGATTCAGAGTAACTCTTGGCAGCGGCTTTTTGAGAAAAATGAATTTCTCGGCCAATCAGAGGCCGTTCCAGCGCATCTCGATTTTTGGTTTTGAAAAGACCTAGGCGAGGTGTTTTGGGGCGTTTTGGCGCTTTTCAGCGCGATTTGGGGTCCCCGGAGTCGCTGCAGCAGAAAAGTAGCAAGTCAGAGTAAAATGTATGATCCATTTTGATTGGCTAGATCGACAACAAATATTCATTGGTGAGCATGGCTTGCCCCAGGGCGCCTCGTCAAGCCGCCGTTAGACCGAGCCGTCGTCGTGCGTGCTGTCGATGCCGTCACACGAGATAGGTGTACTGCACTCTGCAAGCGTAGAGCCACGAGCTTAACAATCGCAGCACTGACTTGCATCTCTGGGCCCGGAACGAGCGGGATCTAGCATCGCATCAGGGCTACGGCTATGCCTGACGTCTCGTTGGCGATAGCACTGAGCATGACGCGCGCCAAGCGCCCGCCATAGCGATACCCGTAGTCGCTATTACAGCTGGAGGGTGGATCTATCTATGCGGATGCGTCCACCACCCTGCCCAAGGTGAAGCGCTCTTGAACAGGCGTGTCGTCGCCGCCACGTCGCCGCGCCGCACGCATGCTCATCATCCCTTCAAGCGCGCCCAACCACCGAGTATAAAACGGAATGTTTCTTAAAGCTGATTTAAACAGCTACTAGAATATCCGTGAATAACTATGGTTCTGTTTCATTCATCAAGGTGCAACACTGCTATAAACTGTATTAAACTCCAATATTGGCACCTCAATATGGCGCCTCGGCCTCTTGTCCTGGTCGCTCGATTTTCAGCCAATGAAAAAAATACTTTGAAACAGCCAATCCATGTGAGCTAAATCTGAATTTCTACCAATAACATGCGTCAGAGCTTGTGTGATCCGACAGCCGCTGACCTGGAGGAAATCTCAAACTGGCCAATCAGCGATGGGAAACGCCATCTGTTGGTCTCCAGCCGAGAGCCGCACCTCACTGTCTCCGAGTCGCTGTAAGTTACTCTGCACAGCATCTGGCGATTTCAAAAGCCGCTGGCCCAAAGTTACTCTGAATCGACCCTAAACGACTTGTGTATCGTGCGGCGGCTCTGTTGAAGGGAAATGCAAGTTGGCAGTAGTTCTCTGTCTGCTAGCTTGCTGCGAGGGACACGTGGAGATGATACTACTGAATGCAGAAGCAAATGCTCGCGCCGGGCCGTTTTCAACGCGTAAATGAGCTGTTCCACTAGAGACTGAGCGAATCCAGAGCGAGCTCAAGATATTGCTGAATGTCTAAGGTCGGACAAACCGCTAACTCGCCACTGGCACGGCGGACACCAGCACACGGTTCTTGCACCAAAGGAGTGATGGAGAAGGATTAAGTCTTATCGACGTGGCGCCTTGGTTTTTGAAGGCTATGACACCAAGAATATATGGCTGGCGCCAGAAATGGTGCTCGGCTTTCTGTACGATGTGTGCCACATGAACCATTTTAAAGATCTACGGTGTCCACTCGATCGCGTTCAAAGGGGTCACATGCTCCCTCGTCAAGCCAAGCCCGGCATATCTCTCCATTAGCTAATAGTTTTTGCAGCCACAGTACACGCTGAGTACACGCCGTGCATCATACCTTAACGGCTGGGTGATCGTCATTGATGATATATGAAGCCCAACGTGTAAAACTGCGCAAGGAGTATGTTTTGGCAGTTGGTCAAGAGACAAAATGCCAGTGCCGCGATACTCCAACTCGTCGTGTAGCTCCTCACTCGTGTGCAAAATACCTGGTCAATCGTGTCAGTGATTCCTCCCACAACGCTCTTCAGTAGCTTCGACGAGCGGCCAAACCACTGCAAACCCCGACGATGTAGTACAGTCTACTGTTCGTTTCACATTGCCCTTTTTACATTTTCAAAACTACCTGAAACCAGCTATGCTCGCCTCGATCAAAGGTGCGACGGGCCAAGTGATCAAGGTCCACCCGCAACCGACAGCCGAGGCTGCCCACCCCGAGGCTGCCAATGCCATCATGTGCAAGGTCAACGACGTGGCGGTGGCCGACGTCGCGCCGCGCGACCGCGCAACTGCGTTGCATGTCTGCTGTCACGGCCTTGTGAGCGTCATGGCTGGACAGTACTATGGGTGGAACGCCGCCTTGGCGACGGGCTTTGGGCCCTATGTCGCGTCACAGCTCGTCATGAGTGTCACGTACGTCATCTACATGTCGTGCGCGGCTGAAATCTGCGGCAAAATCGCCTTCTCGGGCGGCACGTACGGCTTGTCGCGGGTCACCTTGGGGTACTATTGCGGCTACATGGTCGGGTTCCTTGAGCTCCTCGAGTACACAGCGTCAACCGCCGTCTCGGTCCTCTTTATTGGCGAGCTTTTCACGAGCGACCTCGGCTGGGACAAGCGCTTCGAGCCGTTGATCTGGCTCGCTTGCTATGCATCGTTCGTGGCATTTTACTCGCTTCCGGGACGCATCATGTGGAACGCTTCGATAGGCTTTGCACTGCTGTGCTATGCCCCGGCCGTGCTCTACATTTTTGGGAGCCTCAAATTCGCCAACCTCCGTCAATTTGGCTATTTGTTGGACCCGGTCGACAACACGACGCATGTCTGGGCCTCGGGAGATATCTCAAGTGCATATTTTGCATGGCTGCCGTACACAACATGGGCATTTGCCGGCATCGAGTGTCTCTCGCTCGTGACCGATATGACGGTGCAGCCAAAGACGACGATTCCGCGCGGTATCCTTGGCGCCGTCGCCCTCCTCTTTCTCTCAAACGTCGGCATGGTGTGCCTTGTGCCATCGCTGCCCCCAGGAATTGCGGCCGCGACGACGGTCATGTATCCGCTCAACAACGGTCTCGCGATGGCGTACGGCATTTCTGAAGGCGTTGGCACGTGGCTGCTCTTGCCCGCGCACATGGGCATGGCTGCTGGGTTTGTCTTGCCATGTGGGCGATTGATTCAAGCGCTGGCCGACTCGACGCTGCTACCGCCATGGCTCGGGCTCAAGAATTTGGGGCACCGCGGACTGACGCGCGCCATGATCCTCTCGTGTGGCTTTGGCTACGTTCTCTGCATTTTGAGCTACTTTAGCCAGGACTTTTGCAGCGCACTCCAAAATATGTTTCTTCTCGTTGGCTCGTTGTGCTATGGCGCCCAGCTGCTCGGGTTCATCTTGCTACGGACAACGTACAAGGCCGAAAGCAACGGGTTCAAAGCCCCGTTTGGCTTGACCGGCGCCGTCTTTGCCATGGTCGTTTACAGTCTGCTAGCGATCTCGATCATTGGTGGGTTTCAAAATGATCATGGCACCGCGGGGCTCGCCGCGCTCGGGTACTGCCTCTTGCTGACGGGGTACTACTACTATGCGTGCAAGGACCGGCAGACCATCTCGAAAGACGAATATGCCTCGATTTTCCGCTTTACCATCATTAAATTCAACAATCTCAAACGAAAAGCCGCGCGACGCGCCCAGCGCAAGCCCCGTTTCTGGCACAGAGTCGTGTCATTGCTACGGTCGTCGTCGACACTCCTCTCGACCAATCGCGTGAGCTACATCAACGTTGGCGTGCGCCAAGGGAGCGCACCACGTCGCCCGGCACCGCCCTACCCCGCAACACGATAGTCCGATACCTCAGGTTGCGTATTTGTGTAGTATCTTTGTATAGCACCACAATGAGATCTCTATTAGACTCACTTTAACAATAAGATCTCTATCGTATATGCAGTGTTTTGTGGTCGACTAGTACGTGACACGAGGCACACGGCGATGACGCGCGTGCATCATCGCCGAGGTTGTCGGCATCGAAATGCACACGCAATGTCGATCTTTGCGGCTTGGGGCCCTTCTGCCAGTGGCTACTTTGCTTGAAAACACCACGCCAGTCGTTGCAAAGGGTACCGAGACAGGCTCGTCGGAACCCGGGGTAGGGTAGGGGTAGGGTATCAAATACCAAAAAAATGCAAAAATGATATTGTTTATCGCGAATCGGTCGCTTGTGATTGGTAAACGCATGCAAGAGAGACGTTGTCATTTCGGTGCGATCGACATCCGACGGGGTTGGCTCAACCGCGAGCCGCGGTTGACGCCGACGTCGACGTAGCTCACGCGGTTGCTCGAGCTGAGCGTCGAATTCGACTGCAGTAGTGAAATGACTTTTGTCCACTGTGACGACTTGCGCTGATTCTGGCGCGTCATGCGTCGCTTCATGTTGTTGAACTTGATGATGGTAAACCGAAAAATCGACGCGTACTCGTCCTTCGAGACTGTCTGCCGGTCCTTGCACGCCACGTAATAGTAAAGCGATATGACGACAACATAGGCCAGGTACGTAAGCGCCGCAACACCGTCGTCGTCTTGAAATGCCCCGAGAATCGAAATCGCCAGGATCCCAAAGCTCCCGATCGCGAGCACGGCGCTGCCTATGCCAAAGGGCGATCGATACCCGTGGCACTCGGCCTTGTACGACGTCCGCAGCAGGATAAAGCCAACGAGCTGCGCTGCATAACAGCCGCACGCTGCGAGCATCGCGAGGTGGGGCAAGGCTTTGGCGAAGACTTGAAAAAAATAGCTCAAGACGCAGAGGACGTAGCCAAACATAGAGGCAATCGTCACCGCCTTCCACCGCCCTGTGTACGCTGCGCTCTTGAGACCGAGCCATGGCGGCAACAGCGACGAGTCAGCGAGCGCTTGCACGAGCCGGCCGCTCGGACGAAGAAACCCCAGCGCAGCACCCACATGCGCGGGAAAGACGAGCCACGCACTCGACGACGCCGAGAGGTCGTACGCCAACCGGAAACCATTAGTGAGCGGATACGCGGCCGTCGCAGCGCTGGCAATACCAGGCGGCAGCGACGGCACGAGGCAGACGATCGCAAAATTTGATACAAAGAGGACGCCGATGCAGTAGAGCATACCCCGGGGCACTGTCACCTTGGGTGAATTGGTCATATCGGTCACGAGCGAGAGACACTCGACGCCGGCATATGCCCATGTCGTGTACGGTAGCCACGCGAGGTACGCACTCACGATCGTACCCGATGCCCAGACGCGCTGTGTTCCGTCTTGCGCGTCCGCGTAAGCCCCAAATTTTTCGAGATTTGCAAGTTGGATCGTACCGCCAATGAAGAGGACCGAGGGCAGCAGACTCAGTACCGCCAAGACGACGACCAAGGGCCACAAGAAGCGACCGGGCAGCGCCACGCAGCCAATGCAGACAGAGTACACAA